TTTTGTTTGCATGTCAGTTTTGACCTCTTTTTGATTTGGGGGCATGGCAAGAGGAGAGAGGTGAGGCCAAGATGGACAGGCGTGTCATGGACGTTTCACATCATCAGCTGGAGCCGCGGCTGCACAGCCCGTCATTTCAACTAATGCCATCAAGTTAACACAATCAATAACGAACGGCTGTGTTAGCTGCTGTTATTTCTGAATTTGTTATAGCTTAAATATTTGGCTTGGTGCTTAGGTATTTACAGTAAACCTTTTTGGGTTTAAGAGTAATAAACAGTTTGTTTCTCACGACGGCAGTACACTTTACCTATCAATTATTAACTAATTTCACATTTCATTGGTAACCTCATGAGGCACTGTGTATCAACGTAGGAGTTAAAACGTGTCATATTATTAACATGAACAATGAAGTGAAACAATGGCAACTGTTACAAATGAGGACTAGTTGCAAAAAGATGTCAGTGTAAGCTTTTAATTTTATTACATAAACAGACACTAGGTAGGTAGAAACGGACAAGATAACAGAAGAAATCAAAAAAAATAAACTGAAGACCTGACAGATAGGCAACTGCAAGGGCTGCTTACACAGCACAATGAAGCAGAAGGACAAGATGATGAGAAGATAGAGCTACAGAAAAAACACAGTTGACTTTGATAGACACAGTATTCCAGAGCATTGTGTCTCAGGGGGGTCTTGTGACAGCAAACATTAATTAACATGAATTTCTGATAAATTCAGATGTTGAAGAAAGCCTTTATTACCTTACCATTCATTTATCATCTTCATTTATTAGTACATGCGTTAGTAATTTAGTCTTGTGGTTGTTAATATGTAACTTGTTAATTTGTTCCTGATTAATGACTTAATACTTTCTGATTAGTTATTCATTAGTAAATGCCTTAGTTACTGGCAGATCATGTACCCTTAGTGTAAAGTGTTACCGATATGTTTCAGTTACTAAATTGAGCAGTGTTTGCAGCCAGTTAGGACTGTTATGAGAATACACTAACATGGCTAGCAAGTTCGTACAGTACAGTCAAACGGTTCCCACGGCTGCGCGTGCTGGTGTTGCATCTCCTTAAATTTACGTTCCCCTTTACAAACCAAGCCCTCAAGCGCACATACACACTTAACAGAAGGCAACACCAAGCAAAACTGGAACTACGGAAAACGAATAAGTTCAGGAGATGTTAACGTTACACAGCCGTTTGTTATTGATTGTGTTAACTTGATGGCATTAGTTGAAATGACGGGCTGTGCAGCCGCGGCTCCAGCTGATGATGTGAAACGTCCATGACACGCCTGTCCATCTTGGCCTCACCTCTCTCCTCTTGCCATGCCCCCAAATCAAAAAGAGGTCAAAACTGACATGCAAACAAAAAAGGGTAACACGAAAGGGGAAAGTACTGCAGAAAAAAATAGGAGCGTAAAACGCAAAACACAAAGAAAAAATATTGTCGCAAAAGATTTGTCCTAAAAAAGATGTTGCAAGAGAAAAAAGGTAGCACAATTTATCTTCTTTGTTTGCAATACCTAATTACTTTTGCAACTCAAAACCACATTTTTGTGATTATTTTGTGAGTTTTATTTTCTCATCACTATTAAAGACCCCAATTTGACTCCATACATGACCACCCTGGCAATTTGTTTTAACATGTGATGGTTAGGCAGGTGTTCAGGTTTGTATATCATAGTTATCTGATTTTATCTTATTACAGTGCTTGCACAGCAAAGCACTATGTTGTTATTCCTAGGCTTTTTATTATTATTACTGTGCATGCAAAGCAAAGCACTGTATTGTTATCCATTGGCTTCTTTTAGTTAGTATTATTATTATTATTATTATTATTATTATTATATATTCTTCCAGGATCCATAACTCGAGAACTGCTTAACAAACTTTCTTGAAACTTTGTTGCGTAGGTCCGTGAGATGGCAACAAAATATTTTTGGAGTGATGCTGAAACTAAATACACAAAATGGAGGATCTAAATGTTCTCTATCTTCTAGAGGATGTATGTTAATATTTCCAGGAAAGTGGTGCAATGTTTTTGTTTTTTTTTTTAAAGTTGAGGCATAAAGTTTGGGTTTTACGTCACGTTTCCATCTGATTATTACATCCGATTCATGTAGACCTGGAGACCTGGAGTAATCATTATCTGATTACTCAAGTGCATGTAAACGAGTTGAACGGATTGCTGACGAAATCTTATTTCATTAGATTATTAAACGCACTCAGTATGACATCATCATCATCATCATCAGGTTTAAACTGATTTTAACCTATTCTTCAAGGCTTCAACTGGCCAGAACTAGTTCTTCACTGTCGTGTGCGCCAATTTTAAAGCCCAATCCCATTTCACTCCTTGTCCCTGCCGCTTAGCCCTTACCCCTCTATTTTGCGCGTTCACACCTAGGGATAGAATAGTCAAATTTTTGTTGAGATAGACGGGTAGGGTGAAGTGTTAGGGCTTCATGGCCCTCCAAATGGAGGTTTTTCAGAGACATGCTCCAAACATTAAGTGTTATGAGAAAAAAAGAAAAAACAGCAAGATGGCTGCATAAGCGACTAAAAAAAAAACTAAAATGTAAGTTACTTTCTCTGTTAAAAGTACGGTAACCATTGTATTTTCTTAGTTTAATGTCATTTCAATGTATTATAGTTCCTAAGGTGTTGCTAGGTGGTTGCTATGATATAGGGGTTGTTTGCGAAGGTGTTGCAGAGGGAGTACATGCAGTTTGGTGGCCGTCAGGCAAAAAATAAGCATAGGCCTTGCATGGGGGTGAAAATAAATGGAGGTCTATGGGATGAACAAGGTAGGAAAATACTAAAAAAGAAAAAACTACAGAAGAAGCAGACAAAATGTCAGTGGAAGATTAAAAATAACAGAACTAAATATTAAGGGGAAGAATTAAATATGCATTTCCTGAAGGAAATACCAGTGCTTGCAAAGCACAAAATAAAGAATGTGAAAAAAGATTTGCAATGGTTTGCAATCTCTGTGTTAGTTCTTCCCAAAGGTGTTCGATGGGGTTGAGGTCAGGGCTCTGTGTGGGTCAGTCAAGTTCTTCCACACCAAGCTCATCCAACCATGCCTTTATAGACCTTGCTTTGTGCACTGGTGCACAGTCATGCTGAAACAGAAAAGGGCCTTCCCCAAACTGTCCTCACAAAGTTGGAAGCATATACTTGTCCAAAATGTCTTGGTATGCTGAAGCATTGATATGTTCCTTCACTGGAACCAAGAGGCATAGGCTTCTTGAAAACCACCCCATAGCATTATCCCTTCTCCGCCAAACTTTACCTGCCTGACTGCATTGTTCCAACTATAATGTTCTTTTGGCGAGAGAAGGTTTGGAACTATTCAGTCACTAAGTCAGCAGAGCTTTAGCGACTTTTATGCACTATGCGCCTCAGCACTTGGTGACCCCACTCTGAAACTTAACTGCCATAAGGGAAGAAATTTGGCGAACTAACTTGCAACAGTGGCATCCTATTACAGTGCCATGCTCGAATATAGTGAGCTTTTTTGAAAAGCCCATTCTTTCACAAATGTTTTTAAAGGCAGACTGCATGGCTAGGTGCTTGATTTTATACACCTGTGGCAGTGGGACTGAATGAAACACCTGAATTGAATGATTAAGAGGTGTGACTTTAAAGATTCTATAAAGATAGATTGCTAGATAGACTGTTAGTTGTAGAGGTATAGATAGATAGTGAAAGACGGTCTGAAAACTCCAATCCCATTTCTTATTTTTACCCCTACCCCTTTGCAACCTCACTCAGTTAAATTTAGTGCATCAAAAGGGGGTGGGGGGGTGGATGCAACAACTTCTTGTTTGAATTTTCCCGTTCTAGATTAAATGGTGCTGCAGTTTCGACACTTAAGGCGCCAGAATGTAACTTACAGAATGCAGCAAAAAACAAATGAATTTGAAGGTGGGCAAGATTAAAGGTTATTTCTCACAGTGGTTTATCTCACCAAACAGTTAAATGGGTTTCACGAAGATTGTATTACAAAACAGTTTACATTTCAGAAAACAAAATTTAGCGAGACCGATGGCCAAGACCGACATAAGTCAGATTGCAAATACTAAGACAAGTCTAAGACGTTAAAAAAAAGCCTCAAGTCCAGACATAAATCCAAGAACAGTCTCGGGTACTACAGCCCTAACTGTAGATTTACCTTTTCAGGTGGCAGCACTGGTTTTGCACAAAAATGTAGCAGCAGACAGAGGAATATGTTTTAAAATCTTTCATTACTGACAAATAGTTGCAGGAAAACAGTGTGTTTTCATAAAGCCCCTTCAGAAGAGCAAATGAGCTAGTTCTACTGTACAGCATTGAATGGATGGACAGGGACTCTTCATATTCTACACAAGGGCTTTTCTCCTTAGTGGACATCAATGTATCGGTTTGTCAAAAAAATGTATTTTCACTTCACTTCAGTTTCTGGACCTAGCTAACATTAACGAGACTAGTCCATTTTTTGAAAGGTATAATTCCACAGGTTTGTAGCTTAATTTAAAAAGAACAGTTCCTGCAAATGATTTACATAAAATGTGTGTTTGGCATTTACCAACGGAATTCAACATCTACGCATAGGCTTTAAGGAACACTTGAAACTGTGCAGTGCTGCGGATCACTAGGAGCAATATTAAGAAACACTATTATGTTGCTTTTAGCATATAGTTTAGTATTTCCATGCCTAGGTAATAATGATGAAAATGATGAATTCTGAGCTCAAACATTTATAATTTGAGGGTTTCAAAACAGGTTTTCTGTATTTTTTTTTTATTATTATTTTTTTTATTATTATTATTATTTTTTTTTTAGAATAATCAACTGTACTACTACAAATGCGACAGCGAGAAGTTGACTTGCAAAGTCTATAGGACATACTTGGAAACCATTTAGCACATGTTGAATAAGGAGCCACTTTAAAAAAATTGCCTCTTGATTCTTAGCGACAAGCGATACTTGTTTCTTTCTCAGGAGTGTGTGCAGGTGACAGTCATGAAGGACGGCATGGCCAACAACAGCACTGCCAGTATTTCCCAGGCTCGCAAAGCTGTGGAACAACTTAAAATGGAAGCCTGCATGGACAGGATAAAGGTGCGTGTGTGTATGTCTGTCTGTCCTAAACCAGGTGTATATAATATGTTCCTATAAAACCACTGAAATGACATCTGTGCTTGTGCAAGCAAGTGATTGCTCACTAAGAAAGGAAAAGAACAGAGCTTGACAAAGACCTTGTTTACACCTGCTCATCATGTGTCTTGAGTATCAGAATTATATCTGGATAAGGCCAAGCCATGTAAAAATGCAAATGTTAATGCACCCAAGATGCATTTACAACAGATACAAATCTGACCACTCAAACCACTTCAGGAGGTGGTCTGAGAGGCATTTGAGCCACATTATATGATTTGATTATTGTAGATATGATTATTCTAGTGTAAATACATCCATCTCTTAAAAATCTCAAGCAGTAAAGAAATTAAATTATTAAAGTTTGTTTAATATTGATTTATTTAATATTTCATCAAATAAACATTGTGCATTAATATGTGCATTAGCATGTTTTCTGCAGAGGATGTATTCACTTATTTTTATTTTGAAAACCAACAAAACATGTAATTTGACCAGGTTGTGCCCAAATCTTTGCATACAACTATAAATATTAATAACATTAATGCATAAAATCGCAACTTATTGTATTAATGTTATTACTGTTTACAATATTTTCCGAACCTCATGTAGTACCTGGTTTGCTAATCAGTACTTCATTATGTTAAAGTGTATGGAGTTTGCTGATGATGGAATTTAACAAAACTATGTGTTAGCTGAGGGCATCCAGAAAACATGTTTGTTCTTCAAAATAGTTCACAAGATATCAACTGCTTTTTTGAAAATAGAACATTATTGTTACTTTTAAATGCATTTATATTGATGTATATTTAATTTGGTTATATATTTGCGTTTTTACAGGCAAAAACAAACTTATTGCTTGGCAGATAAATTGAGATGAACTGTTGCTTTTTTCTTGGTTGGACATTGCCTTTCTCAGCAGCTTGTGTTTTTTTTAAATATATATTTAGTGGTAGTGGGTGAGATGTCCAATTTTTGTCATGGTACATAAAATTTCGGACAGTTTCGGTATCTATCTTTTTTTTTTTTCCCCCGAATTTCTCCCCAATTTAGTCGTCTCCAATTCCACCCACTAGTTAGGACTCCCCCAGTCACACGATACTATCAACGCTAGGAGGGGAAGGCTAGCACAGGCTTCCTCTGAGACCTGTGAAGCCAGCTACCACATCTTTTCAAACTGCTGCTGATGTTGTCTGGGCCGGCTGCTCTCCGTGGGTTTATTCTCTTCAAGGTCCTGCGCACATCCACTGATGTCACAGTGAGCGATGTGTTCTGTGTGCTCTCCTTGGCCATAACGTCTCTCAGTCGGCCAGAGTTGGCTGGTTGTGACCACCCTGCTCGTCTGTTGGTATTTGATGATGTGCTGCAGTCCTTGCCACATGCGCCAGGAGTCTGTGGTGGTGTAGTAGCCCTCTGTACTGTCTCTTGGCCTCTCTGTTAGATCTACGCAAGTCGTATCTGGACCTTTTATAGTCTTCAGCATTGCCTGAGAGAAATGCAGCATGGCGAGCACATAACATGGACCGAACTTCACTGTTTATCCAGGGTTCCTGGTTGGGGTATTTTCTGCAGCGCTTTGCAGGAACAATAAACGGACTACTTCAGATGTAGTGGACTAAACAGTGGGACGTAACTGCTTCATTTTCATTTTCATTAGAAATACGATTAACTAAACGGCTAAACAGGCTGACTTTAGCATGGTTTGCACTATTTGTACTATTTGTATTATCTAGAATTATTTGTGGCATATCGGTATAGTGGTTGTAAAGAAACTGATACCTGAGGAGGAATTTCAATTGGCATATCGCACACTACTCATTATTAGTACTGGTTCAATTTAAAGGTTTGATTAAAATTATGATTCATTATTTAGCTCGTCCTTTTTAGCACTTGTGATCTTTGTATCCAGTTTGCTAAAATGTAATGTAAATGTGACTAAAGTCTCAGTGATAAACTGTACTGAGAGAAAAAGATGGATTGGGTAATTTTGGACAGATTTTTCTGGCTATTCTTTCACTTTTCGTCTCGAATAGGGTTTTTTGTAGATGGAAAACATAACACCAAATGTTATGAAATATCAGCTTATGCTTCCATGTCCATGTATTTAGCATCTTAGTAGGAATCTTTTATATCATATTTTTTTCCTATTTATGCTTTTTTGGTTAAGACTTGAGACAGCTGTAAACCATATACTGATAGATCTAAGAAAATTACTGCATACTGCATATTAACTGAACATTGTCTACTGGGCCAGACATATCCTATATGAACAAAAGTACTGGGACACCTACACATTACACCTACGTGAGCTTTTATGACATACCATTGTAAAACATAGGCATTAATATGGAGTTGGTCCCCCTTTTGCAGCTGTTGGACGAGAGGGCCTGGCTCACAATCTCCATTCTAGTTCATCCCAAAGGTGTTTAATGGAGTTGAGGTCAGGGCTCTGTGTGGGTCAGTCAAGTTCTTGCACACTAAACTCACCCAACCATGCCTTTATGGACCTTGCTTTGTGCACTGGGGCACAGTCATGCTGAAACAGAAAAGGGCCTTTCCTAAACTGTTCCCACAAAGTTGCATGCATACAATTGTCCAAAATGCCTTGGTATGCTAAAACATTAAGTTTTCCCTTCTCTTGAACTAAGCCTAGGCCAACAATTCAATTGAGGAAATAATATGGCAAGCATCAGTCAACGGCTTTCAGCAGGCATTTGGCAGACTTAACACTGGCCAGTCATCGTGTCAGGTGTCCAAGATGGCGGTGCCCTGTATGGCAGCGGCTACTCCAGCTCCTGTTAGCACTGTGCATTTTACGTTAAATGTACTCTCTATTCCGACACAGAGACTGTCTGAACACATTTATTGGAACTCATATGTTCTATCTTAAAAATGCAATCTGTGCAATATTTTCAATGTTCTCATCACTTGGGCACTTTATTCACCAGTGTGACAATTGTTACACTGTATTTTCTATACAACCTGCAATATTTTTTAAATATATACATATTTTTTCCCTATATGTATATTCTGTCAGTTTATGCTGTCTAGTATGTCTGTGCATTTGCCTTTATGTTATATTTTGCACATTGGAGTTGGAGAAATGCAATCTCGTTCAGCTGTGCACTCTCTGTTGTATGTTCTGAATGACAAAGTTCACGTTGACTTTGACTTTGATCATGAAATCATGTAGGCATTCTCTGACAACCTATGGAAAATGACATCAGTGGCCATTAGGTGGCTTTTTGCACACAGACTTACTAGTGCTGCATCGGTGTTCTCTGTGTTCAGCTGTGCTGCAGGTGTTTGGTTGTTTGGTGATGCCTAATTTGAAGGATCTGTGTTGATTAAACTGTTTTTATTTTGCCCAGCATGGAGTAGTAAAGTTGGAGCTAATGTTAATGCAAGCATGTTGGTTGTGCTTATTAAGAACACAGTATTTGGTGAAAAGGACGGATTCCTCCAACTGAACCCATTCTCGTTCTGCCTGTCAAACTTTCCACTCCATGGGCCCGCTGGTTACATTATTTCTTAAAAACGCATCTCATAGCCATGGGGCTTACCGAGGTAAACAGCACTCATAAGGCAGCACTACTATTACACTGCCTGAAAGCAGAGGGACTGTGTTCTTGGGACGTTTGGAAACACTGCCAGCATCACATACAGTGCCATGGACCTTCTAAACAAACATTTTGCTTCACAGACCATGATCTCAGGGGAATTATATGTAGGCAACGTCGCCAGCTGCCCAGTGAGTCTACAAGTCAATAAGTTGCTAACTTATGGGGGCTAGCTAGTTCATGCAAGTTTTATACATTGCAGGATGAGATGATTGGTGACCAGCTAATCAAACATACCAGTAACGCAAACGTACGTGAGGCACTGTTATTACAAAATGACAAGCTGTTGCTGTCTAAGGGTATTGACCATCTCACTGAATAAAGGGAGTGCAGCTGAATGTGCAGGTACCTTGGCTAAACACCAAGGGCCTGCCTTCAGCCAAGCAGCCTCCTCGGATCCTCCTCCCTATCCTAACCAGAGTGAAACGCAGTAGCCTTGTGGTAACTGCGGATCAAGGTCTCGCACCACAAGAGCCTAAACCTGCCCAGGTTTTGGACAGACATGCTGCAGTTGGAGTAAGCTGAATCATTTTGCTCATGTATTTCACTCTGTTCCAGCTGGGTCAGACAGCCACAACCCCCAGCCTGCAACCACAATTATGCACTATGTGAACTCAGGACTAGTAGCATTCAAACCATGCAGTTAATCTCAGTGATGTATGTATTCTGTTACTGTTGGACACAGGCACCAGTGTGTTTCTCCTAAATGTTGCCACTTACAAAGTCAATTTTTCAATTCACTGCCACTGTCCATGCCCTTACAAGAAAGTACAAGAAAGAGTCCATACTGCTCTTTGTTGTTATGGCGACACCAGAATTTATGTAGTTGGCCCCCTCCACGTGACTGTTTGTTACAGAACCAAGGTTCTACCCAGCTTTTGCTTTCACATTGCCCACTGGGGGGCCACCCTAATGGGATTGGACCTCTTCAGCGCTCTGGGGTTCTTCCTCCCAAACACAGGGGATACAGCAATAATGACTGTTGCTACGCCTTCGCAACGAAAATGGCCTGTGCTGTTTGAGGGTCTGGGCTGCATCTAAATACATGGACTTCACCCATCAGCCTCTCCTTAACCCACAAGTTACCCCAGTCATTCAGCCACTGCGTTCCATCCCACCTTGGGTCTCGCACCTGGTGCTGGCAGAACAAAGAAGAAATCAGGTGCTTACCACGTCTGCGTGGACCTCCAAGTAGTTAATAAAGTCACTTGTCTCAAAACTCATCTGGAAACAATCTTTGGAGTCTGAAAAAAAAATAATTAAAAAAAATGACTCTCTTGCACATTATGGCTGCAGCACACAAATGCCCACCGAGGGACCCCCACCTCCCACACCCCTGAACAG